AGGCATAGGCAATTTCGGTGGGGAAACCCTATTGGGGGATGAGGATTGGTGTGTAGTTGGGGGCCATCATACTGCTCTAGAAAGTTTTTCCTTTTCTTTCATCCTTTGTACCCCTCTGTGACATTTCTTAAGACCTTACATCAGGTGCTTCTAATGAGAAAGGTGGCACATCCAGGCTTCTCCTGGCATGGCAGAAAAGTACAGCCGAGTTCTCCGTGTTGACAGTAGGGGTGTGAACAGTCTCAGGTGGGAGAGCAGAGTGATAGCTGAGATGCTGTTTCTTTCCATTTCCCCAGTGTTTATAGACTCTGAGCAAACTTGCTGCAGGAGGCTTCTCTAATCAGAAGGACTAACACTCTGATACCATGTTGGAACAGAGACTCTTGATTAATAAATGTGTTTGGGACACGGCATGGTAAATTGTGGCATCACTTTTGTTCTTTCCAATAATCAAGTAGCAAAACATCTGTACTTAGGGAGCTGAATGAGGAAACAGCCAGCTTCCAATGAGGATGCCTTCTTTCAAGATCCCCAGTTGTAGCCACGTGTGTGAAATGACATTAGAATAACTGCTTAGGCAGGGAAGAGATGTTTGCGGCAAATTCCACCTTGATCTGGGCCTGGAAATTTATTTTCTTAATGGTTTTCCAAATGAATAGTAACACAGTTTGAGAATCCCACTCCCCAGAAGTGCCTGATATAAAAATATTAAACCATCTCTGCTCAGGCAGGACTCTAACTCCTTGCTCTCCATAAGCACACACTACACACATTGCATACACACCTTCACAAACATACACCTTTGCTGAGTGTGTCCTCTGCAGAATTTTTTTGTGGCCATACTCTATGATTAGCCTTTAAGTCATAGTTAGAAATGAATAGCAAAATACTGCTTGCATACCAGGTCTCAGATCCTGTGCTAAATAAGTCCTTTACCTACACTTTCCAATTGAATTCTTCATATTCCTGCTAGGTGACACTTGTCAGCATCCCCACTTCACAGGTGAGGAAACAGAAGTTCAAAGGAGTTGTGCAACTGGCTCAACCAAGCCCATGAAGATAGGCAGGGCTAGAGACAGAGTGTCTCGGGGAGCCTAGACATGAAGTTGGGTCTCTGTACCATCCACATCTCTGTGATGCACAAGGCACCCTGGCATCCTGATGGAGCTGGAACTCATGGATGTCACAGCACCCCAGGACTCTCCTGGGCTATGCTCCTGACTCTGACAACCCTGAGCTGTGTACACTGAAGAGGCACCTGTTAGAACTGAGTGCCATTGCTTCTGCCCAAGAGTTCAGCTCTCAGGATACAGGACATGAAGTTGCTGCCTATATCAGGTTGTTTCCTTGGAGCTTGTCTTCCATTGGTCGTCTTCTGCCTGCCTGTCTCCCTCAGCAGTAAGACTGAATGAAAAGAAGCTCTGTTCAGATACAGGAGAGTGGGAGTGCATTTGCTCACTGACAATAGCTCAATCTCTCCCCAAGTAAACCTTGAGCACTTTTTCTTTTTGCTAATGCGCTGAGGTAGGAGCCTGGAGTGCTGTGGGGAAATGGGGCAGATTTATCTCTCCCTTTTAGAGCAGGCACAGGCTATTCACTTACTTAGCTGAAGATTTCCTTGTCACAATCCAACCCTGAGAAATTGTGAGAGTCATAAATTGAGAGGCCATATGTGAAAGGACTTTAAAAACTCAGAAGTGCTAAAGAAATAAAAATTACTGCTGTCATTTCTACCTTCCTGGGTTTATTGGAAGAGGGCTTTGTCTCTGCTCCCAGGATTCCTGTTAAAAACCTCCTCCGTGTTGGATTCTTGCATTAGCCCCCTGCCTTGAAAAAAAATTCAGATAGTATTTGAGTTCCTACTGTGTTCAAATATATAATCTTATCTACTCTCTAATCTCTAAAACCTACTCAGTCAGGAATCATTACTCAGGGTGCAGTTCCACTCCTATCTGGTTTGTTCTAACATTTAAAAAGGCAACATTTTCTATATATCCTCCACAGTTTTCTTTTTTCACTCGGTTAATAATGATGGATAACTTTCCACATGCAGCTCTTTCACTCTAGTGTTAGGATTTCTTTTTAACAGTTGCATAATATTCCCTTGGTCTCCTACTCATAGGCATTTATGTTGCTTCTTCTGTTTGCCATTGTAAATAATGCTTAAATGGAAGTCCTTGTGCACATACCTCTGTGGATTTGTATTAGCATTTCTGTGGCATAAAATGGGGTTGTGGGTCAAATGGAATTTATGCCTGTATTTTAATACATACTGTCAAATTGTATTTTAATACATACTGTCAAATTGTCCTCCAAAAGTAGCATCAATTTATACTACTTCACACCGTGTATCTGAGCACCCTACACTCTTGCCAGCACATGCATTACTAATCTTTAAAAACATTTGGCAAATATATGGATAACATTTATATTTAATTCTTTATGTTTAATTGCTATCCAGATTGAATGTGTTTTTTGACTTTTTTAATTCTATAAAATGCCACTTCATATCCTTCAGACAATTTTCTGTGGGTTATTAATATTTTTTCATTAACTTTAGAAGGTTCTTATATATTTTGGATATTAAAGTTTGTTTCTTCAACACATTGCAAGAATTTGCTTACATTTTTGGTTTGTTTTCCTTACTCCCTGTAATGGGCATCGATCTCTCCTTCTCTGACAAATTCTGTGGGTTACTAAATTCCCTCTTCTTCTGGGCACACCAGATAGAGAATCTTGGTGCTATGTGTTTGTGAAGTTTCCACAATATGGCATGGAGCCAGGAGTGTATTTGTCCGAACATACATTTTAGAGACAGGCAGGTAGATAGAGAGTGCTGTTTCTATAACTCACCACCAGCCGGGCGATTTGGAGAGAGCTGCTTACCCTCTCTGAATTTATGTTTTCCCATTGTAGTATGGGTTGGCAATATCCACCTTCTCTGAGTGCTCTCTCTATTCCCCTATACCTGTAGATGTTTCTAAGCCTCTCTGTAGGAGATCTGGAGACATATTAGAGGGTTTAAGGAGGAAGAATCTCTTGGTACTAAAGGTAACTGGACCAGAGGGTCTGAGAAGAACAAGACTTCTGAATTTGACACTTAAAAAGTTGAGGACCAGTAACATAGAATAAAACATAGATTTATGAGTTAAATCTGATGGATTATGACAATAATATACACTTATATAGCTACTACCAAAAATAAGTAAAGTTTCCGTGTTCCTCAGAAAGTTATCTGCATCTTTTTAGGAATATGCACCCTCTGTGACTTTCTAATTTCTATCACAAGATATTAATTTTCTTTGTATTTGGATTTCATATGGAAGGAATCATACCTCCTGCTATTCTTGGGTGTATGCACTCATTGTCTGGGCCTACACTGTCTGGCTTCTTTTATGAAACAATGGCTTTGAAATATATTCATGCCGCTTCATGTACCAGTAAATTTTTAAAATTACTGAATAGCATTCCACTGTTGAGATATACTACAATTTATTTATCCCTTGTGTCACTGATACAAATTTGGGTTATTTCCAGTTTTAAGCACTTACAAGAAAGGATGCTATAAGCATTCTCATATAAGAATGTTTTTGTGGTTTTTGTGCTTTGGTACTGGATATTGAACTTGGGTCCTTGTACTTATGAGGCAGGTGGCAGAACCCCTGAGCTAAATCCCAGGCCCAGGCGTGGACATATTTTAATTTCTTTGGGTATCAGAGAGGCTTCTGTAATGTATATTTAGTTTTGGCAGGAACTGCCACATAGTCTCCCAGCTGGTTATACTGTTTCACAGTTCTAGCAGCAATATCAGAGGGTTTGTAGGCACGTTTGGAGTCTTTTTGATTCTCTTCCATCTAGTGGACGTAATATGGCTCCTCATTATGGTTTGGCAAACTGAAATCGTGTCTTATTGTTTCATCTGCAAGCTCTCTGTCCATATCCATGTACCTTCTTCTTTCCCATAGCTTTGTCTCTCCACCAAGGTTTGAAATTCCGTGAGGACAGAGACACCAGGTGACACACTTCCCTCCAGTACAGAACTACACCAAATGTCAGGCCAGGCACAGTGTGGGCTGGATTCCTTGTTGATTGTTTTCTTGTTGCTAAGAAATATTTCTGTACTGTAGCATGAGTGAAACGGGTATGAAAGGGTGGTTCCTCCTAATGCTTTTCAAACTCTTACGCCTGTGCTGATTTCTCTGGAGGCTATTCTCAAATACATTAGGAAATTCTCTCTCATTTTCTATCTTTCTGTCTCTGCCTCTCACTCTGCGTTTCACTCTCTCTGTCTCTCTCTTTGTGTTTCTGTTGCTCTCTTTCTCCCTTTCCCTCCCTCCTTCCCCTCTCCCCTCCCTC